TAGAGCATGTCTGGGATGCTCTGGGGAGGGCAATTGCAACTCGCACCTTCCAAGAGCCATCCAGGAACTGAAAACAGCGTTGCTGAATGAGTGGGACCATTTGCCTCAGGCACTGATAAACTGCCTTATTTCCAGTACGACATTACACTGCGAGGCCTGTATAGCTAGCTGTAAGAGGGGACCCATTTCTTTTGCGTCATCTGCAACTGCTGTTTCAGACCTTCAGACTCCCATGAGTGTTACACACGATCGTGTGTGTCTATTATAACTGTTGAATGTTTATTTTGTTTGTATTATATCAACCTATGTTCACACCAAATTTTATTAAAATGTGTCCAGTAGTTCTGGAGATCATAGATCAAATATGAAAATTCTCTTAATTTCTTTGCAGAGTGTATTTATGTTAATTAACACGTTGAGCACCAAGCGTATTTCTTAGGCAATCCCGTTCAGGCTACGCGCGCCGCTTAAAAGCGCTGGTATTGTAGGGCCAGCGATTCTTATCGCAGTAGAAGATAGTTTATGCATGGAATGTGATTTCTATAGGCATTCATTCAACATGTTACGCGCTAAGTCTGTTTTGTAAATAGTTACATTCTATGCAAAGATATTACAAAGCAGAAAAATAGCATTACTGAAATTCGGAAAGAATTAGCGCTATCCCTTACAAGTTGTGAAAAAGAAGATATTCCATCGAACAGAAATGCAAGAATATCTAAAAAATGACAACATAAACTTCAAAGAAAACCGGGAAAAGCTTCTGGAGTACGGAAATATTGTAAATTATGTTATGATAAAAATGCAACTGAAGCTGGTAGAGTAATGGCCAGAAAAAAGACTAAGACAGTTGTCACATTTTGTAGTAGCTGTAATGGAGCCGTTTTTATACTTACTGTGTTTCAATGAAATCCATTAGTCCTGTAATGAATCAAAATTAAGTAAATTTTAAATAATTTTTCTGTAATTCCATAAAACAGTGTAAATTGTATAGTTATATATCATGTTACACGCTGTCAGCCAGCGGGTGGTCGACGTGACCTAAACAGAAAGTCTAGTGTCAGCCACAGATGGCTGACGTGGCCTAAACGGAAAGTCTAGTGTCAGCCATGGCTGACATGGCACTCAACGTGTTAAAAACGACCGAACACAAAATTGCACTTCCGTCCATATGTTAGTGTTTTGGAAATATAGAAATTCGGTGATTGCAATGTGATGCCCAGTGGACGCATTTTGGAATTCTGGTCTATAGTGTTGTTAAAGTGAATGTGGTTTCAGAGAGTAATCAGTATCCAGTAGTTATGGCTCAAAAGCATCATTTAAGTGAAGATCAAAAGTGGCGAGTTATTGGTAGAATTGAGGGAGATCAGACGCAAATGCAAGTTGCCTAAGATTTGAATATCTTTCAAAATGTCATATGAAGAGTTTGTAGCCACTTTTTAAGCGCTGGATCAATTAATAAACAGCCTGGTCAAGGACGACCAAGAGCACTGCATCAGATGACCATTTTCTGTCATTGTCAGCTCGAAAAAAAGCATGAAGTTGCTACAAGAAATTTGGCTTTAGAACTTCAGGCTGTCACAGGAACTCAAATTAGCTGTTCCAACTGCTGTGTTAGAGCTTCACTAGGCTGTACTGTATGCTAGGATACTAGTGGTTTGTGTCCCACTCACTTCACCACCGAGAGGTGCCTTTTTAAACTGGTGCCATTGTCATGTTCAATAGAGCCAAGAAATTTGAACATTAGTATTGTTTATTGACGAGTACAGATATAGTTTGAACAGTGATTCTAGATGTGTTCTGATCTAGAGAGAGAAAAGAACACTCAACTTGCCTTCCCTTATCCGTGAAATATCCTGGTTTTGTGACTGCACGGTTTGGAAAGGAATCATGATAGATGGCCACGCTTATAAGGTATTTCTCCCGCTTTCCAGTATTTCTCCCACTTCTCTAGCGTGCCTTCATGGTGTAGCGGTAGCACGCTGGGCCGGTATTCCAGAGGTCCGTGGTTCGATTCCCAGCGAAGGCGGTTGCATATTTTTCATCTTTTCTGCTTCCAATTAACCTAATGACTCTACACGCTGAGCTGGATATCTTTCAAGGAGGTTTTATAACTACTCAAGGATATGTGGACAAGTTATTGGAACCCCAAATTAGACTGTTTAGGGGTGCTTTTGGACTAGAGGTTTTGCAGATGGCAACACTTGGCCTCATCGAGCATATGTAGTGTCAGAATACTGGCAAACAGAAGATATCTCACGATAGATTTCTCACCTTACTCACCCAACTTGAACCCGTTTGAGCATGTATAGGAAGGATGTCTTAGAGCAGCAAATTACAGTACATCAGATTCATCCCTGGACCCTTCAGGAGCTGAGTCCACTTTTAGAAGAGTAGCATACAATTCAAGACTTCATCAACATTTTTATAAAGTCTGTGAAATCAAGATGTAAGATATGCATAACTGTTCGAGATGATCATACACCATATAAAAGATTTTTTTTCCAGAAGAGGTGACTTAATTTTTCCAGTTTCCATAAATTTGGTTTTAATTCACTATTTTGTGAATAAACTGCGAAACATTGTAATTTATGTTAACTAATGCTTTTGCACAAATTTCTATTAATAAATTTTAAGTTTCAGTTGTGTTTTATTTTTGTCATTATAATTTAATTTTGATGACCAATATGTAAAATTCTGTTTACTAAATTACTAAGACCTAACTTGAGTGTACAAGTTATTTTTCTTGAGTTTTAATTTTCATATGTTTATTTTTTTATTATTATTTTCAAGTACATTCTATAAAGAATTTTATGGCCATAAATCTAAATAGAAACTTTGATGTTTTTATGCAATACTAAATACCTTGAATAAGGAACGGAGATTTTTATTTAATTGTTTTTAAGTATTATCAGTAATCAACAAGTAGTTATGCTAATTTGCTTGTAGCAGACCTGCCTTTTTCATAAAATTTTATTTTATTATTATATTGTATTTTGTTCATTCTTATGTATTAATTATTACATTGCAGTATAGCAAGATATTCTGGTTTTGTTTGATAATGAGTAAATAAGTATTAATTCTAATGAAATTTCATCGATTTATATTGCAAATATTTTGGTTTATATTGATTACCATAGCTTTTATGAAAGACTTTTAAAGTCCTAGAACTATCAAAGTTATATTGACATATTCCAAGAGACATTTTAATAACTGTGCATTTTCTTGACTGTTTCGTGGGGGGGGGGAATCAGACTCCAAATTTAGAACATTTTTATACTATTTTCAGAAAATGTTTCAAGAAATTTACAAACTTACATTTTAAAGACTTAAATTGGAATCTAAATTGAATTTGCAGATTATATAATACTTTGTTCTAATATTTCTAAATTATATTTTTATCTGTTTTTATATATTCAAATATGAGAAAGTTCATGAACCAATGTTTGGACATAGTGAAACCTAAAGGCTATGTCCCTGAAGCAATTCTTTTGCTTCCTTGTTGGAATTTTATATGTTATGTAAAATTTCTCTGCCTTTGCTATTGCTGTAATACTTTTCCTCAAAAGACCTTTTTATCACCAAGTCTTTTTCTTCTTTAAAGGTGGGGAATATGTAAAATATAAAAGTATGAAAGAAAGGTATTACAAAATCACTGCTTAATGGAAAATAGCTCTTTAAATTCCTAATTTTAATTTAAGTGCAATACCTTCAAGGCATTTATACTGCATCACTGACTTTATTCTTTTCCTGCAGTAAACTGCAATGTGAAAGCTGTTGACCAATCCTCATTTAAGATTCAAACAAAACATTCTGAGGTTATTTATAGGCCCTGCTGCTTAAAACGCATCACTTTCTCCTCTGATATCACTTAGTTAACACATAAGCAATCGCTTACCTCTTTTCAAATATTACTTTAAAAATGTGGTGCGTCTTTTGTACCAGTTAAGTGCCCTAGTGTTGTACCAGTTAAGAAGATATATGCTATGAAATTCATCATCCAGAAATAAAAATGATGTTCTTCTATGATGCATCTTATTTGTTTGTGAGCTACATATCTCTATCACTATCCCCAGCATGACTGCTAGTTAATTGATGTCTTCTCTATTAAGTTCTCTCATTTTATCATTCAAAAATATCATGTAAATATGAAGTGTAATAATTTAAATCTTGATGCATAAAAAAAGCAACAGTCAGTTAGGCCAGTTAGACCTTTCTTTTATTCTATGCATAATGTGGAGCAAAGTGTGGTTGTTCTTGAAGAACTGTTAAATTTTTTAGAAGTTTTGGTTAGAAAAGCAGTGCAACAATCTCTCTAGAGACAGGGAAGTATCGATCAAATGCAAAGTGTTCAAGATGAAATCATGGTTCAGAATCGTTTAGTTTAGGTTTACATTTTCCTCATTGGCTGTTAAAAGATCCTGAATCTGAAACTTAGTAATTGGTTGGAGTATTTTGCAAGTCTGTTCTTCATTAGCTTTACTTAAAAATCATAAGACATTGGATTAGTAATTTTGAAATGATGCAGTCTAGTAAAATTTATTATAAGCAGTTACTATTTTTAAAACAGAAAGGGAAATTATCCAGATTAAAATAGAGATTTAAGGGGTATTGGAAAATAAAGTTAGAGAATTTTACTTTTTTATTGCTTTTAAATCCTGTTTCAGAGAAGTTGGCTCATCAGAAGTTTATTGGTATATATTTGTTTTTCTTTTTGAGTATACTGCAATTGTTAGCTTACAGTGTAATTAATTCTTGTCACTCAAATGGATTTTTGTTTTATGTTTTTAGTTGTAGCTGCATCGTGGCTTTTGTTTTTCCTCAGTAACATATTTGTAGCAACTTTATAATCATTTTGCATTCTTTAAGTATGCTATTTAATGTATGCTTTTTAATGTAAGTAATTTTGTAGTATTTTATCAATAAATAGTTTAATAAAAAATAGTTATTTTGTTTCCAGTTTATAATTTACTTTAAAAACAACAACATGTCTTGTTTTTCAGTGCCTTAATGCATAGGGCTTTAACTACAGTTGGGAGTTATTTATGGTCCCGAAAATTGCAGTCTCTTTCCCCAGAGGTAAATGTCAAACTACTAAGTTATCAAAATATTGAAATATTCCTTATTTCAGTTATTATTTGAGATTATAGTTAATGAAATTCAATATTTAGGCAAGGCACACATTACAGAATGAAAAAGAAAAGCCTTCAACTTCTGATTCACAGAATTCAACGGTAATTATGTTTTTATTGAATTTATCTGAGTAAAGGTAATTCATAATAATACTTTTTTTTTATTATTATTTTCTTTTCTATATGTTTAATAATGAAACTAAGAATATAAATAGTTGAAATAGTCATGTTGTGATGTATTTGTGCTAAAAGTGTTGCATACTTTACCTTTCTGTGTAGTATTGTAGTATTTGTGAATGATGTATGTTTGCATAATATTTAGTTTAAGAGTATATAAGTGCAAATGCGTTTCAAATTTTAGTAATGTTTCAAAGCTTGATGGCAGTGTTTATTGTACATAGAATCCATAATAAATTAGCAGTAAGAAACTTTGTTGTGACACAGACGGCCTGTATTTTAAACAAGAAATGAAATATTTTTCAGTAACAAACTTCATTGGCAATAGAGCTGCAGGTATTTCTACTCATCCTCTAGCAGAAAGCATCTAACTTTTTTTTTATTATTACAATCTTAATGTGTAGTCAAAGATTCTGCTTGATAATAAATACATTTTAATTGGGGTATCCTGCTTTGGGATTATCAAGAAAACGATGCTACGTTCCACTAGTTAAAATATTAGAAAATCCCTCGGTGGTGGTATCCCTGTATCTGCAGGTTATAGATTCCAATGTTTACAGTAGATACTTGAAACCATGATAATAGTGACTGCTGCATATAACAGTACCCAGGCAGCATGTATTCGTAATTTGCACATGAAAAATACGTGCAATATACGAATACCCCTTCGTATAAAAATATAAAACTTGAACATAAAAAAAAATATCATGAAAAGTGTCCAGGAGATATGCACATTACGAATGTAAAAACGCTGTTTAAACACATTTAATTAGACTTTACACCATTAAAAACACGCCATCCACATTTTTCCCCTGCATGAGGTGAAATTTTCCAGTTTGTTAAATGTGATAAGCTAAAATAATAAACCAAAAAGTTGTTCATTAAGTAAATCATTTTTCTAAAAATATATGAATTTAATATTCTAGAATTACTGAAATGGAAGATAGAAATGATTTTAAAGTTACTGAAAAATATTAATTTTTATTTAAAAAATTCATATTTATTATTATGTATTAAATGATCAAATAACTAAGCAGATTTCAAAAATAAATTACTTTCATAGGTTTTACCTTAAATAAAAGTAATAAGAGACACCTTCCCCCCCTTTTTTTTCCCCTCCAGTTTATGACTTTTGTTTAATGCACATTAATAAAAATATAACTGTAGTTTTCTGCACAGACACTACCTATGTGTCCATCTCTAGGGAATTTCTTTTTTATTAATGATCATTTTATTTTGGTATATTTATTTCACTTTTTTGTTAACCCTTTGTTGCATACAAATAATCTTGATGAAATAAGTTAAACAAAAATGTTTGTATTTTTTCTACTGAAAATAATCTTAGTAATAATAAAAAAAAATAATTTTATTCAAATTTCATTTTAAATAATTGCTACAGTGGACAGCATGCATATACGTACATGCATACAAATCTCTTCCCAACGATTTACGATCATTGCATTTGAAATCGTTTCCTGCCTTGTTTGCAGTGATCATCACCATCTTCTAAATGGTAAATCTACAAATGACATGCACATACAGATCCCCCCAAAATACTTTCATTTTGTCGATTGTGATTGAATTCATTTTGCTACGATTTTGTAACCTGTACCTGTTGGATTCAAATGTCAAATTTTCTAGAAATTCCTTGCCAAACATAAACATTTCCAGTGGTGCTTTGGCTTGATAAGCAGTACATTTGAGTTTCAATTAACTCTTTTTGGTAGATCTTTATCTACCCACTCCACAATTTTCTCAAACTGGCATTTAAAATAAGATGTCTAAAATTACTAATTATGAATAAAAAATGGCAATATAAGAAAATGTAAGCAGTATTGTATAATGTTTGATATGAGAAAATGTACTAACTTGGAAACAGAAGTAGCAGCCATTTTCCAAATAGCAATGCTTTACTTAGTGATGCTATACAGCCATCTATGATCGACAGTTGAAAGTTCTAATAATATAGAATGAATAAATAGAGGAATGGAATCTGTTAAGGAATTTACAGAAGAATAAACAAATTTAAATTTTTGTCTACTAGAGTGGACATTATGCAACAAAGGGTTAATTTAAAGTCTCACAGCTAATGGTGTTCCAAAATATATCAAAACTTACCAGAATTTTTTTTTTTTGGGGGGGGGTCATTTTGAAAGCATTTTTGTTGATCCAGTGCCTTAATACTATAAATATTTTAGCCATTGAAAAATAATATATATTAATTGGTGTAGTATCAGTGTCTAAAATTATGGTTTGATATGTCTCATGTAAACAGAAACCCAGTTTAAATCAATAATAACAAAGCATACATAAATTAGAAATAGTGACTGCTTTAAAAAAAAACTCTTATAGTGTTATTTAGAGAAAAGTCAATAGAATTTAAGAGCCATTCAATGTAAACTAAAATGCACCTTTCACATGGTGCTTTTCCATTCTTAAGAATTCTTCTGAAAAAAGAATTACTCTTTTCTTCCAATAAGATTCCATTCTTATTGGAAGAAAAGAGTAATTCTCTTTTCAGTTCAACATCAATAACAATAGTAATAATAAAAATCCTCAATCTTAAAATTTAATATGCCATTTACATTTCTGTTCAATTAAGTTTTATTTGTTTTAGGTACCTTAATGTAAGACATTATTATAAACAGGAAATTTCATGTTTAATGCATGGATAGGTTAATTTTTTTAAGCTTAATGATATGTGTTATGATTTCAGTATTATTTCTGAAACCTTCAGAAAGAATTATAATTAATGATTGATTGTTCATGTGTTAAGTTTGTTTCTAGTGTTTTACTGTTATCAAAAGGATGAAGCCATGATATTATCAGACATTATTTTAATTATCTAGTTTTACATTAAATTTCAAAATTTTACAAGTCTTCACAAAAATATGAAAGCAATAGAAAACCAAATTCGTTTTTCCAAATTAGTAAAATGGACACTACCAAAATATTAATGAAAATTGAAAATATTATTAAATATTGAAATCTGCTGCATATTTTTTCTTTTTTAATTTCAGTAACACCAAGTTAAGTATTAAATATTAAATTCAAATGCTGACAACGAAACTGGCATAGCCTAGACTTATATGAATAGTAAGTAATGTAACAAATGAGTTTAATCTTTATGCTACATATGCCAATAAATAATACTTTGGTATAACTTGTATCCTTTCATAACAATGTAAACAACAATTACTTAACAACAAAAAGTCACTTTCTCACTGTCAAATATAGTAGAGATGAAACATTCATTTTTATTTAATGTCATGAATTATGTTATAAACGAAAATAATTAATGGTATGCCCTAAAATATCTTTCACATAATGCCTATTTTAACATTAATTCTTCCATTCGTTTATTCTGAGGATATTTTAGATGCTTATTTAAAGATTATCTTAATACTAAGACAGACAGCATCTTCAATAGCTGAGAAAGAATAGCTTCATAATAGTGCCAACACCTACCAAGTCGGCCACTGTTTGAAATACAGACATTTTCCTAAAAGTATCATTACAGAAACCAACCCTTATGAAGACCAGTTTGTAACTTGTAAAAAGCAACCTTTATATGTTTGCTGCCTGGGTAGCAGATGTTTGAATTAACTTGGTTTGCTATGCAGATTAGCAAAATAAATGAAAAATTTACTTACATTATGGACATAAAGGTGGACACCAGGAAAGTAGCTTTTCGTACATATAAGAAAATAATTTACACAAGGATGCAAAGCCCAAAGTACAATTATGAAATTTTTCATAATGATTTCATTTTCATTTTGAACATGGGTTGACTCAAATTAAAGTATTACCATCATTATGAAGCATTTCTCCAATAGTAAATGGTATTTACTATTGGAGACTAATGTAATGACACCATTTGCTATTATATGCTCTTTGAAACAGTTATCAAATCCTTAATTACATATAATAATCTAATAGATGTGCAATAACCAAATTTTCGCTTAACATATTAACTTTAATAAATCTTTAATTAGCAGGATGACTCTATTAAGGCAAATTACGAAAGAACTTCTTCTATTATCTTTTCTATAACTAATGCTATATGATACATATATTTTCTAAATGTGAAAATTTTAAGTTAGCTTAGAAACTGTAATCATTCTTTAAAAAGTTTGATTCATGCGGATATTAGATCAATGAAATAACTTTCCTGTATTCATTTAGAAGTGAAACAACAAAAATCAGCATTATATTTTCAAATTTTCACAGGACTAGTTTCGATGGTTCGGTAAAACCATCAAAACTAGTCCTGTGAAAACTTGAAAATATAACGCTGAATTTTGTTGTTTGACTTCTAAATTAATACTTGTTTGGCATGTTATTGTATCTTAATTAACTTTCCTGTGCAAAAGCAATATTCTGTTCAACAACATGATTTTACATATCATCAACATATACTGAGTGAAAATTTCCTGAAATGTTCTGATTTTTAGAATCTCGTATCGCAACATTAATGCTTAGTGAAATATTACGAAGAAAATTGTTTGGTTAGATTATTTCATTTTATAATTAATAGTAGAAAATAAATCATTTCTTAGCGTATTAGAGTTTACTTCTCATATGTTTATAAACAAACAGTATTAAACAAACGTATCATTATGATTTCAATCCAAATCTGTCTCTCTGATGGTCTGGTAGACTGGACATCCTGTTTACTACAACTCAGCAGGATGCTCACTCGCCATACCAGGCTGTATTTTTTTTTAATTCACACGGGGGGAAAAAACAACAGAAATATCAGCAATTTCTTGATTTTAAACAAGCATTTCTGCACATTTACAATTTTCATTTTTTTTTAAATATCAAAATACATGATTTAATAAAATAGAATTTATATCATTTAAGGTATTTTAGATCAAACACTAACTTCTGAATAAATATTTTCATGCAGTTCTAATGATCAA